GCTTGTTGTTTTTATGACATAAGATCAGTGGGGAAGCTTTAGTAACTTTTTTTATATAATCTTTATAGCAGCAATGACAATGAGGGTGTATATTTCTCTTTCATGTTGATCTCTGAGATAGCTTTTGTTCCCTTCATGGACCAAACAGATCCCTGAAAATCTGAATTCAAGTATTGGGTTCAGTTAACTCCTTGCAGGATTTCTGGCTTCTTTTCCTTCAAGTAAGGATTGCTGAGCTTCTCTTCATCTTTTTTCCCATATTCCAAAAGTACTCCCAACCCAAAGCATATGATATAATCAAGAGCATGGGCCAGGGGACTATGGGATTTAGGAAATAGGAAGGGCAACCAAGTTGTTCAACTCCTAGGTGTCATTTTACAGAGAAAATAATACATAAACAAAGTAGGTGAGGCAATGTGAATATAGAATTATTATTTCTGTATGCTTTGCAATTACTTGATGAATATGTGAATATGGAAAGTTGTTGTTGTGCGCCTTGCAATTATTGATGATGTATTTCTCATGTGTTTAGACAAATTTGGAAAGAACACAAACCACATGGAGACAAGCGCAAAAGTACTAATCTCATCAATCACCATTATGCAATTGCTTTTTACTATCAATTAGTTATATGCAGCATTAGGTGATGGTTGCGAATGCCCTTTTACATCATTGCAATTAATTGCTTGCATGTGTTTTGATAATGTTAGGAAGTGAAAGATAAAGGTAAGGAAGAAAGGTGAAATATTTGTTATTTCCTCTCCTTTTTTTCCTTCTTTCCCCCCCTCTGTTATCTATTTTCTTACCAAGAAAAATGATGAGCTTCTCTTCATCTTTTTCCATTCCAAAAGTGCTCCCAATCAATCACATTAAGAGTCTTAATGAGCCAGTGGACTTTTTTTTAAAATCTTTTATTTTGTCAAAGGTACGAAGGGGGAGGGGGATTTACTCACGCACACTGGTGCATAGGGGCTTTGGCATTTATGAAATAGGAAGGGTATGGGTCTGGTCAGTTGGTGCTAAGATAGAAAATTTTTGTATGGTTTTGAAATTATTTGATGAATATATGTGAATGTAGAAAGTTGTTGTGTGCCTTGGAATTGAATGATGATCCATTTCTCATATGTTTAGACAAATTTGGAAATGCTGCCAAAAGCCACTTACATGTATTATGCACATGCTTTTCCTTATCAGTTAACATCAATTCTATGCAGCACTTGAGTTGGGCATAGTTGCAAATGCATTTGACTATCATCTGCATTTGCATGTGTTGTGATCACAAAAACTTTGAGGTTTCAAATTGTTTTCACAAAGCCGTTAGGATGTGTTAGTGTAATTTCACGAAAAACTTCAGGGCGTGTCAGTGTAAAAGACACTACGTTTCAACTTTCATTGCTTGCTATTTTATATCAAATAACATTTTGCCAAACCAAATTCCAGTTAAATGCAGACAACTGAACAAAATGTTGGCTATATGTTGGCAGTATAGGTTACAATAGAGATTATGTGGTTGTGTGTGTGTGCCCTATACCAAATCCCATGATATATTAGTTGAAGGAAAAGAAGATCCGTCCTTGTGATATTGTTAGAATATCAAAAGTCTTTATTTATTTATTTATATCATTTATTTTTTATTATCATGGAATCAATCATAACGTAGTTGATTACTTTTTCATTAAATAAATTAGGATTAATCATTAAGTTTTCCCCAATGAACAAGTATTAACCATTATAGGATACTTATAATTTATGTCTTTTTTAAGTGCTCCATAATCGACGGATTATGATATAACAAATCATGCGAGTTCATGATTAATTAGTAACATACTAACAGTTATTTTATCTCATGATTTATTAGGTTCTACGCATCAGAGGTGATTGTGGCTCTAGAGTACCTCCACATGATGGGAATTGTGTACCGTGATCTAAAGCCCGAAAACGTGTTAGTTCGATCGGACGGCCACATCATGCTTACGGATTTTGACCTCTCGTTAAAATGCGATGATTCTGCATCAACGGCTCAGATCATCTCTACCCAAAACACCCCAATTGCTGCACCACAGAAAGACTACTCACTTGATCCACCCCCATTTGCCTCATCTTCATGCATTCTTCCAAATTGTATAGTTCCTGCCGTGTCATGTTTCCACCCCAAAAGCAAGCGCAAGAAGAAGCAGGGCCTTCGAAATGGGCCCGAGTTTGTGTCTGAGCCTGTTGATGTCCGGTCCATGTCATTCGTTGGGACCCACGAGTACTTGGCCCCAGAGATTGTGTCCGGTGAGGGCCACGGCAGTGCAGTGGACTGGTGGACATTAGGGATATTTATTTTTGAGCTATTTTATGGCGTGACACCCTTTAAGGGTGTGGACAATGAGCTAACCCTAGCTAACATTGTGGCTCGAGCCCTAGAACTTCCGAAAGAGCCCGCCGTGCCGGCCATGGCCAAGGACCTCATCTCACAACTGTTGGTTAAGGACCCGGCTAGGCGACTGGGATCGTTGATGGGTGCATCGGCAATCAAGCGGCACCCATTTTTTCAAGGGGTTAATTGGGCATTGTTGAGATGTACACCTCCACCCTTTATTCCCCCACCATTTACCAGACGAGTTGTATCTGATCAAACTTGTCCTGAGAAAATGGAATATTATTAGTCACAAAACAAATAAATAAGAGATATATATTGCACACTTCAACCCTCGTCAAAAAGACTTTTCATCTCGCATGTTGACAAAATAAAAACAAATTTTGCACTTTTCTTTTTTATCAACATTGAGTAAGTAAGGGGTTTGAACTTGTGCACACTTTTAACACCCGAAAGAGAAATATCACTACGTTAAGAACACGTTGGTACAAAATTTGACATTATTGCGAGAAATGTTTTCTTGCCCCGACATTCTAGCATTATATGTTTTCAATTGGACAGGTCTTTTTCAATAATAAAAGTTTCATTTTCATCGCTATTATCTCAATAATTGAAAAAAATGAATTAATAATCCCTATCCAAAAATTTAGCGTAATTTATGTGACTAGTTGTGGTTTGGCAATTTTTTTCAATAGAACTCTCCTTCAAACCGACATGTACTAAAGTCAGAATATTTCCTAGTCAGTGTTGGAAGAAGCCTCGGATCCCGACAATATGAACTTAAACAAATGATCATGACTTTGGTAGGCTAAATGAATATACGGCTGGCATTGGCTGTCCACAATATCAAGAGGCCCCCCGGTGGCCGGAGGAGCCATTGGATTTGGAGCGTTTCAGTGCTGGTCATGTGTTGGATGGTGAAATTGGAGGGCTTGATTTGAAGAATTTGTGTGTTTGCTTGTGGAGGCCATGCCCCTTCCCACGTGCAGTGTTTCATTTGGAGGAAGAAGGTAGGGTTGGGGTGGCAAGTTTTTTTGAGAGCTACCTTTGTTGTTTCACTCCTCTTCTTAAGAGGAACCTCACATGATGTTCTTTTGGTTGCTTGCCAAGTTTCAATCCTCACCAATAATCTTTTATTTCTTCAACATGAGTAATTTCTACTTTTGTTTTGCATCTCCCAATTCCCTTTTTTTATTTTCTAAATATGATGAGAGATGTGATCAAAGTAAAAATGTAATACTTGATTGGAAAATGACATCTTAACTATACTCCTTCTTTACACCATTAAAAGAATAATTTAATTTTAGTTTTGGATTGTGACTTTGTAAATGTTTTTTTTTTTTTTTTTTTTGTATTCAAAAAAAAAAAAAAAAAAAAAGAAGTAAGTAGAGTTTGTAACTCAAGTGATTAAGAGCATTTACCTCTGCACCTGAGGTCCTAGGTTCAATTCATTCCTGTTTCAAATATCACTTGTATAAAAATTGAAAAAAACAACACAAAATGTTTGAAGTTTAGTAATTTATAAATAATAATATGGATACAAAATGGTGTAGATTTTAGGATTGTTTTTAAGTCACAATTTATAATCTTGTATCACGAGCATTTTAGTCACCACATTTGTAAAAATGGACTTCTCATAGACTCAAGGGAATCAAGACTAAAGTGTAGAGTTAAGATTTGACTTGAGAGGAAACCGGAGACACATAGTTATACTTGTTTATACCAAAATGAACAGCCAATGAATATCGGACACGTGGACTAAACCAGGGCCATGGGTGCCTTCGGCAACCACCTTCGGTACCAAGCCTACCGATCGCGACATTAGGGCAACTTCACCCCCTTCGACACGTGGCAATCCCACAACTGATGTCCACAGTTCCACATCGAAACTCTAAACAAATTGCACACCTCCCAAGGCCTATAAAAGAGGACAACCATCTCTGCTTGAAGGTAATCAATCAGGCCTCACGGCATACTGCCTATTGATCTGTAGTTCAACTTTACTAAACCCGTACTTACCTAAGCATCGGAGAGCCTTCGGCCGGTACCACACCGGTGCCCTAGGACTTACTGTGTGTTTGCTATCTTACAGATTGGACACACTGCCGAGGACATCAGATACTGAAGGAAACATAATCACTAAGTTGCGCGGGAAAGTGCCGAACCATTTTTCTGCGTCAACAATACTTATACATAAACGGTTGTATGTAAAAATTACTCATAATTGACGAGACCGAACTATGATAAGCTTTTCGATGTAGGTTAGAGAGTAAAGCTTCTTTTTTGGGGCAGAAATAGAGAGTAAAGCTTTGGGTGTGGCAATCTAAATAAAAATGGATCATGGTATAGGCCCAAAAGGCCCAATTCTTCGAACCAACTAAAGAGGTAGGCCCACTCTTTAGCCAAACCAGACTACAGGCCCAATAGAATATGTGCTCTAGTCATCGAACCGGCAACAATCCGGTTCGCTGCCCGGTTCGGCCAATTTCGAAAGCTTTCTTCTTTTCACAGATTCGAGCCAACTACGAAAAGCCTGATTTTCACGCGAACAATTCAAAGCTTCGTCTCTTGAAGCTCTACTGTTTCAGTGTGATTGCAGTCTTTCGTCTCGAGCAAAAAACCTTAGGAGCAAGCAAACATGGGGGAAACTGAGAACGGAAAAACCCTAGCAACAGACGTAGAGGAACCCCAGAACGGAAAGCACGTAGCAACAGACGCTGTGGAGCCTCAGAGCGGCAACGCAAGCTCTGCCGTAGTGGAGAGCGAGGAGGAGCCCCTGGTGGGCCCGGGACCAGCCCCTCGCTCTCGGCCCAAGCGGCCTCTCCAGTTCGAGCATGCCTACCTCGACGCCCTTCCCTCTGCTCAAATGTATGCGTTGATTTTAGTCCTCTATGAGTTTATGGATTGTTTTTTTGGTCCAAATTGTAGTTTCAGTTTGGAATTTCAGTGACTGTTGATAGAAAATTATGTTTTAGTTTCAGCATATAGGTTAGAAAATGTACTTGCTTTGATTTGGCTCCATACGCCTAAACCCCCTAAACCCTAAGAAACTCAGCTCATGTCAATTAAGAAATCCCATGTTTTATCTGTATTTCTTTTCCTTGAAAAGAACCTAGGAGTTGAAACGAAAGGCTGAAACCTATTCTTGACAATGATGTGTCTGCCAAGAGCTTTTGTTAAAACTCAAATTTGGAATTTCAGTGATTGTAAACTCATGTTTATTTTTCTGGCGTGACAAACAGGTATGAGAAAAGTTATATGCACCGTGACGTGGTTACACATGTTGCGGTGTCTTCGGCGGAATTTGTTGTAACTGGAAGTGTTGATGGTAATAATACTAACTTCTAAGATATTGTTTTTGCAAGTCCTAAAATCACTTCGTAGTCTGCACCCTGTATTGTGCATGTTATTTGCTACTTTTTCATTTGTCACATAGTTTAAAATAATGAATTGGCTAATAGCTATGTGTCATACGTTAATTTTGGAATGGCTTGTTGAGATTCTATCAGGAAGTTCTTTGCTTTCCCAAGGTTTTAATATTCTGGGATAGTTTCCAATTTATTACGGTTGTATATACAAGCCATACTAGTAACATCATTACTGGTCGCATTCCCATTGGTGAGCATGTGGCTACTATAAGGAGTTTTGCATATTTTCTACTAGTAGATATATGTCTCTATAAGAAAGGGAAAGAAGATGCTTTAGCCTATTTCTACTCCTATCTATATTAGGTCATTTAAAAAAAAAATATTTATAAAGTGGAATGAAAGTCATGCATTGTAGAAGAAGTGTGTATTTCAGTCAGATAGGGTTTGCATAGCTAGCATATTATGTCAATAGTGACATGCTGAGGTATCATGGAATGTAGTCTCCACTTTCCTAAGCGTGTGATGCATATAAGTTTCCTTCTGCCACAAGAATCGTATTGCAGTGAAGCTCCAATCTGAATTTATATTTATTTCCCTGAAACTAGATGCAATCTAATTTATAATACTACCCACACTGAAAACTTGACGCATATTACTCCTAGGGCATTTTAATTTTGGTTGTCTTCAGTTCGTAATTTGCTTAAATGAGTATGACTCCATTATTTCTCACTTGTTTCATCTTTTGTCACCAGGACATTTGAAGTTTTGGAAGAAAAAGGCTATTGGCATTGAGTTTGCAAAGCATTTTAGGTCCCACCTGGGTCCAATTGAAGGCCTAGCTGTGAGTTCTTCCTTCTTACATTACTACATGTGTACCAATGCCCTATCTTACTTTTAGATTGATTACTGTTTTGGTACTAAATCCAAAATGGGATGATTCTGAACGTGGAATCAAACCTAGTTTGTCCTTATAGAACTGAATGCATATGCTGTGGAATCTTAATTCCATATAGATTCCTGCCTTGATTCTGAATTATTTTTATTCTGAATGTTGGCACTCATTGGAACACATAAAAGTTGAATATAGATCTCCTGTTGTAGTTTGTGGCTGCAACTTGGGATTTCAGAATTTTCTGCATAAAGACATAAGACCCGAATACGTGAATAGGTTGCATCAATCAAAGTTAGCTGAAATGCTAGCTCTCTTAATTGATAAGGTATGGTTTATCTATTTCTAATCCTGCTAGATAGAGGATATGTTGTCACACAGACAAGCTCTGTATGTACAGTCTACAGTGTAGCAAAGTAGTGGTCATCCTTTTATTCCTTGGTTGCTGAATCCAATTTTCTTTTTCATTGATAGTTTTTGTGCTAAATAAAATGACTTTTGATGTTGTGTCCTCTAATTTTGGACACTGAGGCCTTGTTTGGTGGCTCGGCCTGGACTGTATGGGAATTGAGTCCAAGCCAGTCCTTATGAGTCCCATCCCTCTAAATGTGACTTGTAAGACACAATATGTTGGACTGTTGTCCAATTTATAAGTCCACTCCCAGGATGTATAAGTTCACAGCCAGGAGATTAGTCCAATTTAATTGAATAGTCCATTCCAGGTCGAGCCGCCAAACGAGGCCTGAAGATATTGAAAAATGTGTGTCCATAACTAATGTTTAGTTCTTAATATATTGTGGACTTGCAAATGTTTCGTGTTGTTCCTAATGTTCATGGCATATACAAGAGATACATCTCAACATGTGTCTGTTGATATGTGAGGATATTTCGGTGTTTTGTATTGATTCAGTTTATTGCACACCTATTTGTTTGGGTGAGGCAACCTACCTTTTTGCACACTTATATGTTTGTGTGTTTTGTATATAGTTGTCAAATCATCCTGTTATTGCAGTCATCAACCGTGACTTGTTCAGCTATGCAGGTTAGCGTTGATGGTTTGCTTTGCTGTACAATTTCAAATGACCACTCTGTGAAGATATATGATGTAGTCAATTATGATATGATGGTCATGATTCGAACACGTTTTGTTCCTGGTGCTGTTGACTGGGTCTACAAACAAGGGGATGTCAAAGCCAGGCTTGCCATCAGTGATAGAAACTCGTCATTTGTACACATTTTTGATGCACGCGCTGGTACAAATGAACCTATAATCTCTAGAGAGGTATGTTGCAGCGTTGGAAGGGGCTTTTTTTTTCCTGCAAAGTTCTATTGTTTATTAGAAAAATATGTACGTAGGTTAAATAAGTTGAACCTCCAATTTTATTTTTTATATTCCATTCCTCAGATACACTTGGGCCCAGTGAAAGTTATGAGGTATAATCCTGTATTTGATACAGTGATTTCAGCTGATCAACAGGGAATAATTGAGTATTGGAGTCCTGCTACGCTTGAGTTTCCAGAGGATGGGTATGTGCTCTTTGGCATGTTAATAAAATAATTGTCCTGTATCACCATCTTATAGATATTCTGTAGAAATACATCAACTTTTGTGAGGAAAACTATACGAGGGAGGTTCATATGATATTTGGCAGCAGCACTCAAAATTTCTGTGTAGCTTGGTTTGGTTAGAAAATTGGGTAACACTAAAGTCCTATAGTTGCAGTCAGAGCAGATAAATTTACCAATTATTGATTACTTTTATCATAGCCGAATATAACTGAGCGCATCTTTTTAGAGAGTAGAGACTACTTGTGCACATTCAACATGTGCTGCTGTTCAGGACATTGGTGGTGATTATTTTTTTCTTGCATGGTTTTGTGCTCTGTTCACTTTCGTCTCATTAGCATAAAAATAACACCAATCTGATTAGTTATATTCTTGAATGGATCACTATCAGGTATTTAATTTGTCCACTTCCTAATAGACATGGATGTGTAACTGTAGTGCTTTCATGTGGTGCGTGCAGGGTGAAGTTTAGAGTGAAAAGTGACACCAGTCTTTTCGAATTCTTGAAATGCAAAACTACTGTTTCTTCTATTGAGGTACCATATGCAATCCATCTCATAGGCATTTCCGCCTAGAAGTTGATTTTTGACTCCTTCAAGCTTTAAATTCTCATGATGAACTCATTCTATTTGTATGATTAGAGAAAGCTTAAACTTGTCTATTGTTTTCTTTCATTTTTGTTAAAATCCATTTTTGGCTCTTCAGGTTAGCCCGGATGGTAAGCAGTTTTCAATTACATCACCTGATCGCAGGATACGTGTATTTTGGTTTAGCACGGGTAAATTGCGACGAGTCTATGATGAATCTCTTGAGGTAATGTCAATTTGTTACATTGATTGTTTTTTATAATTATTTTAGTTTTTCATGTTTTTGAGAATAATTTGGCTTTTAGACACTGTTATTGATCAAGTATCTTGTGCTGATTAGGTGGCCCAAGATCTCCAAAGAAGTGATGTACCTTTGTACCAACTGGAAGCTATTGACTTTGGGCGAAGAATGGCTGTTGAGAAGGAAATTGAGAAAACAGAATCTGCCCCACAGCCAAATGCAGTTTTTGATGAAAGCTCAAATTTTCTCATATATGCGACTCTCCTTGGGATAAAAGTAAGATAATACTGTCATGTAATTGGGTTGTACTACACCCCCATCACCTCCCTCTTACTTCTTCGTCTTAAAATTAAAAATAAAAACTAATTCATCCTTTTGATTTTGTTGTGAATTTCTAGGTGGTAAATTTACACACTAATAAAGTTGCCCGAATTCTTGGAAAAGTGGAAAATAATGATAGGTTTTTGAGAATTGCCTTATATCAAGGTGACAGAAGCAGTAAAAAAGTTAGAAAAATTCCCGCAGCTGCAGCAAATGTGAATGAAAGCAAAGAGCCTTTGACGGATCCCACTCTCATATGTTGTGCTTTCAAGAAACATAGAATCTATCTGTTCAGGTACTAAATACTTCCAAAAACTTGTAGGACACTTGTGTGGGATTGGTGTTTTCTTTTAAGAATGTATTTTTGGCTTATTTATGTTAAGATTTCAGAGTGATGGACCAGCGGCCCACTACTAATTGGTCTAACACTGATACGGCCCCTAACTTAATCACCTGTATAGTCCGGCATGTATGGGGATTTATACAAAAGGCCTCAATGTTAATAGTAGTGGAACCACACACTTATATATTATATTATATTTTTTCAAGTTTCCAATGTGGTATTTTTACAATCTTCAACAATTTAGCTGTTAGCATATTATTTCATGGCTGATGATGATCAGATGCCCAAGTTATTATTGTCCGCACATTATTACATGGCTGAATTTTTGTAGCCTAGATTTGCGCTTGGTAGAAATCATGATGATGGTAGCAGTCTTAAGAATGAAGAAATTGGGTTATGATTTAGGATCATTTGATTGATGTGTTTATGTAGCTACTGTGGGATGCATATTTTGCTCTTTAATGTGATATTTTACCTCAGTAATATCAAGATGACCCTTACAGTTGACTACTTTATACGATGGAGTTGGTTCACTGTTATTCTACATTTTTTTATTGGTCCAATCTGACTTCTTTGAGTTCTGATCAGTCAGAGAGAACCAGAGGAGCCTGAAGATGCAACTAAGGGAAGAGATATATTCAATGAAAAGCCTCCTGCCGATGAACTCTTGGCTGCATCAGATATTGGCAAATCAGTCACAACATCTCTTCCTGACAATGTGGTGAGTTTACTTTCTCTTGTGTATCTTGGATGTGATGCTTTTCTCATCCATTTTTCTTAATTTTGTAAAGAATAAATCTTGAGTTTCTTATAATCTAGTGAAATTTATAAAATTAAAATTAAAATGGTACACTGCATTATAAAATCATAAGAAAAGAACTTCGTAAAGTCCTTTTTGTTGTGTTTTCTTACTATGCTGTTGTCCTCAAATTATAAAGAGAAGGGGCGAGTAAAGGGATAGAAAGAAAAGTGGAAAGATGGGTTTTGCATGTTTTTTTACTATGCATATTTGATTTTCCCCTTGTTTCTTGACATGATGTCATTCTCAATTTAGAAAAAGAAGGAAAAATAAAAGGAGAGGATAATATCAGACTTATTTGGTTTTGTTCTTTTGCAAGACATACAATAAGGAATCAACAATGCATTTCAAAACTGCACATTACTTATTGAGAATGACACATTACTTATTACTACTAGAAAATGCATTACTTGACTGATTACACATTACTTATTGCTACTAAAGAAAACGCATGTTGAAATGTACAGCTAGAATTTCACCTTGATTTTCTTAAGTGGACAAAAATAATGCTCCTCTTTTGAAGAGGAAAATTCTTCGAAATAAGTAATGCAAGGAGTGTTATTGAATGCATTCTCAATAAGTACACATTACGCATTTCAAAAGAAAACTACATATTACTTATTTCGAAAAACTTTCCTCTTCAAAAGAGTATTTTTGTCCACTTAAAAAAATCAAGGTGAAATTCTAGTTGTACATTTCAACATGCGTTTTCTTTTTGTTATGGTTCAATTTTATATTAGTTTTTTGAGCTAGAATGTAATTACTAAGTAGATGAACAAGATACCTGAATTATTAGTGGAAGGGCAATTTTGTGTCCTGTTATCTTTTCTAGATATGTGAGTTTTCCATCTTTGTCAATTATTTTAAGTAAAAAAGTACATAAAATCACTGTTTTTTCAAACCTTATATAAAATGAATAAATTCACGCTTTCTGGTTTGTCATAGGTGCCTAACTTTTCCTTCACCCCTCTTATTATTATTTTTCCAGATTTTGCATACTACGATGGGTGACATACACATGAAATTGTATCCAGAGGAATGCCCTAAAACCGTGGAGAACTTCACAACACACTGCCGGAATGGCTATTATGATAACCTCATATTTCATCGAGTGATCAAAGGTTTCATGATACAAACAGGAGATCCTTTAGGAGATGGTACTGGTGGGCAATCTATTTGGGGAAGGGAGTTTGAAGACGAGTTTCACAAAAGGTAATTTTAGCTATATTCATAGACAGAATTATAGCATTACATGAGATAGTAATGAAGTCAAAATTTCTGCTTTCTTGTTATTATAATTCTTTGGCTGAAATATACATTGATGTAATGTCTGTGTTCCTGCAGTTTACGACATGACAGGCCTTTCACCGTATCGATGGCAAATGCGGGAGAGAACACAAATGGATCACAATTTTTTATCACCACGGTGGCTACTCCTTGGCTTGACAACAAGCACACAGTTTTTGGCAGAGTTATCAAGGGAATGGATGTCGTACAGGTATTGTTGAGCTTTAACTTCCATGTTTTTCATCTGTATGTACTGTCTTTCAATTAAAATGCCTGGAAAATATTTATTGAATATGTCACTATTACGATGATAGCGTTCTGTACCTTAACTCCTCATTCATGGCTAGTATGACTTGCCCCAGTGTGACTAGCATCTGATACTCTTCTGTTGGCAGGCTATAGAGAAAGTGAAGACAGACAGGGGAGACAGGCCCCAAGTAGATGTGAAAATTCTAAATGTTACTGTCCCTAAGTCTTAAGATTCTCCCTTCTGATGATGTTCCGTTGGAAATGGTTGGAGGTCGTTTTGTTGAACCTTGCCTGTAAAAGATTGCATTCAGGTAAAGCCTTGTTTTATTATCCATTTTTCATCTGTGCTTGCCCTCTGGTTATTTTTGGCTGCCTTATGCAAACACTCGTAATAATATAAGGGTGGGCTGTTCGTTTACTTGTTTTTACTGCAGCAAATGGTGTTTTTACTGGGATTACTTAGCAAGTTTTTACTTGTTCAGGGGGGAAAAGAAAAGAACCTTTATATGGTCTACGTTTTTGTACGATCGCCTATCAATCATGAAGAAGTTGAGCATGTGTTATGTGGGATTGCGTCCAAGTCGGAAAAACATTCGTCTACTTGGTTGTTTGTAACTTCACTTATTCTGAAGTTTGATTAGTTGCTATTGTGTTCCTTGTTAACCCCTGTTTTTGGAGTGACTTTAGCCAATTTGAAGTTTCATCCTTTGTAGATTGTTGATTGTTGATTTCTTTCAACTCAAAGGCTATGCTCCCTTGGACACGTACGCTTTGTGTTTACTCTCAGTCTGTTACGGGTCTTGAATCAGCGACTGTATTTTTATTTTTTTTACTGTAAGCTTAATTATTATTTTTCCCCCTAAATCTCACATTGGCTCCCCAAACCCAGTTTGTTTTACTTTATTCTTTGAACTTTATTTTTGTGTCATGCTTTGCTAATTTCCGTCAACTCTGTCAAATAATCCGTTAGATTTAGTGTAGGCGTGTCTCACTTTTTGGTTTATGTGTAAACTGCGCCACGTAGACAAAAATAGAAAAAGAAAAAAGCATTTTAAATAATGTTAAAAGAAATAAGTTTAAAAATGAAAAATAAATAAAAACTGAACAAATTAGAAAAATAGAAATACTTTATTGGATGGTCCAGGCTATGTTGCACGGACACGGGAATGCGACACGGGGACATAGCGACATGGAAAATCTCAAAAAATTAGGACACGGGTACGGCTAGGACATGGCAATTAAAATAATAATTTATCTTCAATACTTCAATGTCACATAATTCCATAAAACAAAACAAACAACTTATGGTCATTATTTATACATAATAATTAATAGACTACAAAATAAAACATAAATGACTCTCAATCTTTTTCAAGCATCTATGTCTTCATTGTTGTTGTTATTATTTGTTGTGTTTTTCTTAAAAAAAAACATAAGAAAGAATTGTCACCTCACCACCAAGTCCAACTCTCTTCTACTGCTGTGGAGGAGATAAGAAAAGAAAATAGAGAACATAAATAAATGCATTTGAAAATAGAGAAATTTTTTTTTTTGCAAAGAGACCTTATGCAAAACCAGGAGAAAGGGAGGAGAAGAGCTGTGACGGAGGAAATGAACTTTGGCAGCAGAAAAAGTGAGATTTAGGTTTTAAAAAGTCTTTTTCCACTTTTAGCCCCTATTTTTAAAAATATTTCAAATCAGTCCACCAAAGTTTCAAAAATCACGTTTAGACCCTAGATTTTATTTTGAAAATTTCAAACTGGTCCCTATCGTGTCTTGACTGTGTCGGAGTTGTGTCTTGACTGTGTCCTAACTGTTGACTGTGTCCAATACGTGTCGGGGGTGTGTCGGAGCCGTGTCGGCGTGTCCGACACTCCGACACTCTAGTAATTTGGAGTGTTCGTGCAACATAAGGTCCGGGACAGAAACAAATGCGTTCAAATCCCCTCTCAAATTTCAAGCAAGTACTTCTGACAGGACCAGACCCAAATTCCACTTTGGAATTCGAGCCGAACCCTGTGCGTGTCCGACAACTGGCGAATGTCGGGCACAAATGACCAAATTTCCCTTCTAACTAGAAACCAAATTTCCTTAAGTTTGACTTTTGCCAAAAATTTGGCAAAGTCTCCTCTGTAAATTGATCATTTCCCCAAAATTTCCAAATAAGCATATACATATATAACCCAACTGTTCAGCATGCATTAAATTATATCCAAGAAATCAAACATCATATCATTCTGGCCTCAGGCCTCAGGCCTCAACCAATCAAATAAATCATTCTGCTAATAAAGTTAATCTCAACTTTTAGATCAATAGTACATTAGCAATCTCAAAGACTCCAACTCGTGGCTGCACCTTGTAACATTAGGCTGCCTACGTACCTTTACTAAGGGATTAAGCCACACATAGTTCTTTTCCTTTAATAATGTAATTGAATATCTTATTCATTCATCACATTGCCATGTGTTTTGCAAATCAAACTAAATTCTCATGTGTGTGTTATACTCAATCGTATTCACAACTCTAAAGCAATACTTTGTAACTTCCCAATACTCGTATCAGTCATATATTGAATATAAATATGCTATACAATGAACTCCCTCTATTTTAGTTTAAGAACATCTCAAAACTGAAATTTTCTCCACCTAGGTGTACCCTCATTTTTGATCCGTCAATTCCATTAATACCGTCAATTCCATCCTCGCAGGCCTTAGAGACACCAAGTTTACTCGAGCCGCAATCCTCACAGGCCTCGAAGATACCACTTCTATCTAAGCCGCAAATCCTCGCAGGCCTCGGAGATACCACTTCTATCAGAGCCGTAATCCTCGCAGGCCTCAAGGGATCATTGGTCAGCCTAAGCCGCATTCCTCGCACCACACGGTTCAGGAGTCCCCGAAACACGTGGGGCATTATTTATAAATGATACTGTTTCAAAGCAACTAGGGGGTACCTTTGTGGTGGGTTTGAAAAACCATGATATGATCCTAATAACTCAGTCGTTGATTAGGACCCATTTACACCGTCGTTCTAACATTTCTCGAATGATAAAACCACCCCGGAAGACTCATGGTCAACCAAGGGTCAAACACCTAAACTTGATCAACTGAGCCCGCGAGGCATACTACCTCTTATCACAAATCCGGGAATCCCTAAAGGTTACAATATGCCTAGGACACATGTCTTGAGAGATGGTCGGATTACCCTCGATCGCATAATCAGACAATTACTGTAAACCTAGCCTTAGGGTTGGCATTTCCAAAGTATCTGGGACTCCGTTTTACGATATGTTGAGTCTTATACGATCATGGAATTATCTAGATTAACATATTAAAAATTGACTATGATCCAACGGTTCAAATGTTGTCCGAATTGAAATATGAAAGTACCTACACGCTCGTGAGGACCAGGAGATCATTTTGAAACCCTAAGCCGGTCCAAAGCCTGGCCACGCGCTACCACACGCACTGGTAGCGCGTGGGTGTCGTGAGTAAATTTCGGCTGCAGGAAAAACGCCAAACTGCCGGCCCAAATTCCTATTATAGGTGTAAAACCCCATTTGAAACCACTTTTGTTCTTGGACCGATCCCGAAAAATGATCGGAAGTGGCTGGAATTTCAATTTGAAAACCGGCCAAATTTCAATTCATATTTCGGGTTATCTACGCTACAAATCGATCAAATCCTACCCAACCATCAGCTAGAGCTCGAAAAATAGGTTGAAAAGCATACCATATTCGACCGGTTTGGTGGCCAGAGGAGGGAGAAACGGCCGGCGAAAGTTTAAGAAAAATCTGTCCAAAATCGCCTGTTTTTGTGGCTGATTCCGCCAACTATGATGGCGGATCGAGGTGGTGAAGGGCTGAGGCTAGAAGAGGGAAGTGTGGTGGTTCATCTGGGCTCGGTCTGGCTTGAAACGGTGGCCAGGGTTGGGAGAAATCACCATATGAAGTTGGCTGGTCGAGCTGCCCAAGTAAAGAAATCCTGGGTTTTTAAAAAAAAAACTGAACTTTGGAAGAAACTAAACCCTAACCCATTTCTTCTTTACAACTCCGATTTGAGCCACTAAGTGTCTACGGACTCGTCTCGACATGCTCTACGCAACGGTCCAAACGGAATTTCCAAATTCCTTCCCGAACTTAAAATGACCTCTTTGCCCCTTTTTATATTAAATAATATCTTTAATTTTCAAAAACCTTAATTAATTCAAATAATTTTATTTTATTGTTTACTTCAATTTATTTTCTCTTATTTTAATCATTTAATCTCCTCCGAATAAAAAGTCAACTCTTAAATCATTTCAATATTCCTGGAGTAAAATTGTATTTTCCTTGAATAATTTAATATTTAACTATTAATTTAAGATCGGGTTGTTACAACTTCTCTTTTAAAGTGATCCTATGGCGTTGTTTTAAGTGTTTTCATTTTCGTACCCTTTAGCTGTTGTTGCAATGAATTTGATAGTCTGGATATGAATTTACAAAGCTAGTTTGAACTTTTATTTCATCCAAAGCTGTCTTCAATCAGAAAAATATCAGAGGACTTGAACATTATCAAAATATGTTTTGAACTGATTGGAAGATAAGTGGTTTTCTAGGAGAATGCCACAGGCAAATTTTTTTTGTGCCGTTTAGGAGTTCGTTGCAATTTCAATCAGGGGTTAAAAGCATGTCCTCTACACTGGAGAGTTAAAATAATTCTTTAGATTTATGTAAATTTTAGAGACTCACTTATATATGTACTTTATTTTGTCAAGTTTTCAATGTAATTTTTTACATTCTTCAAACTTTCTTACATTAGTTTGGTAAATTGCCAAAATCTAAGGGGAAATGATATGCAAGAGGGATGAAGCTTAGGTGGTTAACAATAATTAACCCTACACTCGAGATAGTGTGTTCAAATTCTCTTCCCATAATATCGTATAAAAAAAAAAAAAAAAAAAAAAAAAAACCAATATATCTAAGGTAGTGGAGTTCCAAGATCACGCATGATATATTTAACTTAATTGATGCTATCTCCATCCAATCACGCTCCGTCATGTGGAATCCTTATCACACGTGGCAAAATGTGATTGGTTGAGAATAGCAAAACAATACTATCTCTGATATACAAGGGTAGCTGATTTTCCCACTCCCCTTTTCTCCATCTACACCCCTTTTTGCTTTTTAATACTTTTTAATCAAATTTTTTTTTGGTTCTTTCTCTTTCCTATTCTACTCTTACCTTACATTAATTTATTTTTACTTCACTTTTATATTATTTCTTTTTCCTTAGACATGGTGGACAACAGTGATTTGAGTGCAAGGGCGGATCTATTACCAGGCTGGAGTGGGCTCCAGCCTAGGGGAAGATTTTTAAATATTAAATATAGTTAAGTTTATTCTTACTCCAATAAATATTAGCTCACTACACTAAATAAATATAATAAACTGATAATAGACCAATTTAAGTAAAGTAAATAATAGCTTTATTTAAAAGGGAGTTTCACTAAAACACCCAAAATGGGGGTTGAAATTATAAAAAAACCCAAGCACTATTTAAACATATAAACACACCAAAAACCCATCATTACACACACTCAAAACCCATTTATAAACACACCCAAAAAGTTGACTTTGGGGTTGATTTTGGGTGTGTTTCTATGTTTAAATAGTGCTTGGGTTTTTTTATAAATACATGTCTAGGATTGGGTTTATTTATAAATTTGTATATTTGAAATAATCCCACTCCTAAAGCATATAGGAAATAATAAACATCAATCCAAATCTATATAAATTTGATTAGAAGTAGAACTCATGCTAAGGCTCTACCAACTTGACTTATTCTAATCGTACTGATATTGGGTTACACCCACAGAGAGCAAACATCAAAAAAATTCTTCTAGCCACCCAAAACGCCATATTTGAACCTTGAGAGCCTAGAGGAAATAGCTCTCCTCCTCTAAAAAATTGTACCAACCTATATTCAGTGGGTTCTTCAATCTTGGTAAGTTTTTCTCTTTTTTATATGTATTTAATGTCCAATTTTAATTGTTGTTAAGTTTTTATGATTTAGGGTTTGGGTGAATGTTTTTGGAGATTGTTGATATATGTTTTATTTTTGCAACTTGAATTATTAATTAGCATATATGATTTTTGGTGTCTGGTATTTCTTGTTAGGATATCATGTCACATGATGATAATAGACCGGCAAAGAGAGGAAAAACTATTTATTCATTCTTCAAAAAAAGTGGTAATGATAATAAGGACACCTTCTGCATCTAATGTTGATACTTCAATTCCTGAGAAACTTTCTGAACTCGGATCTCACATAGTTCAACCCAAAGAGTTTGATATTGCTTCTTTAGAAAGAGTTTGATATTTGCTTCTTTAATACTTTTTTGTGTTATATTTGCTTGTAATGTGAGTTTGTTTGATTTATTAAAATTTTATTTACATTATTGTTTCATGAGAAAAAAGGCTTATAATATAAAAAAAAAAAAAAAAAAATAAAAATTCCTAGGTCCGCCATTATTTGAGTGGGATGACAAAGTTTAGTAATCCTTCTAATTCTCAAGATATATTATGCATGGTACGTTTAATTTCTTACTTAATATAACTTTATCAATTATTAGCAGTGTTTCTTACTAAGATATTATGCTTAATAGGCATTTTTCAGGTAGTAGTGGAACTTTGGGTTGTCAATATAAGAATGGGAAAATTCTTGAGAGTTTATGTTTTGTTTTTGTTTATGGGTCAGTATCTGTGTTGGGTAATGGACAGTGACAGAGCCATCATGGGGTCTTGGAAGCCATGGAAATGGCTGTAGATGTAGTGGTGAGCTGTTGTTGCGACCCTTTGGAGGAGCCTACCACCTTGGCCATCTCTGTATTTTATTGTCTTTTGACTTAAAATTTGTTCCCTTTAAATATTAAAAAAAAAAACTATGCTTGAAAGGTTTATTCCCGGGGCATGAGTTTTTGCAGTAGGTGGATCATATAATTTTGCTTAGACAAATATGTAGAGTTAATTATTTCTTACTCAATTAAAGGAAAAAAAAATAAAAATGGATTGCAAGTTGGAAATTAAGTATAAAGAAAAAAAAATATAAAATTGAAGTAAAAGGAAATTAATGTAGGGTAAGGGTAGAATAAGAAAGAGAAAGAAAAAAAAAGAAAAAAATTGAATAAAAGAAAAAGGGAGACTTTGGAAAAGACCAAAGGAGAGAGAAAATTTTTAAAAGAAGCCAAAATGGACAAAATTGCCCTTATTTATTTTTGGATTTCTTAAGAAATCCTTTACATTTGCATGTCTTTAGTTTGAAAGTTGAGAGGTTTTTATATCTTTTTTAAAAAAACTTTGGTTTTTTTCAGAAGTGAAATTTTGTTTGTGGTTAAAACCTAAATTTACTAAAGAGGAATCCTTGGCATTGGCTTTGGCCTTGGGTTGGAACAGCGCGTGTTACAAGTGTGCTTCATTGGCGCGGGTGGGCAACATCAATCTGTCACAGCAGAGCTGTCTTACATAAGCTCAAAAGGTGCATGTAGGAGGAGTTAATGGGATGAAGCAAAAGGTGCAGGTAAGGCAACACAGCCAAAGCAGGAGAAGGAAACCGCCAGTTTAGATTGTTGTTGTGAAATATGATGGAGTTGAGTTGGCAATCATGAATACCATGCCATCCTCTCCACTAAAAACCCTATGAACCAACAAATCTCTCTCTCTCTCTCTCTCTCTCTCTCTCTCTCTCTCTCTCTCTCTGCAGTCTGCACTCATAAACAAGTTTACATGCAAACCAACACTCAAAACTCACTCTCAGTCAGACCAGAGTTTCTATAAAGCCAGAGCAGATTAGCCTTTGGTTTCTCAGACACTCCACTTCATCTCTATCTCTCTCTCTCTGGGAAGGAAGAAATGTCCGGGACGAGACTGGAGCAGCAGCTCAAGAGCTTCATCCACTCCTTGCGTGAGCAGGTGAGAACTCACTTCATCTTTAATTAATTTAATGCTTTTTTCTCCCTTTTTCTCAATATGCTTGTTTAATTTGGATTGTTTTTTAAATTTCTTTTTAGGGGCTCCTATTTGGATTTTGGTGAGCTTTTAGATGTTAATGGTCTCTCTCTCTCTCTCTCTCTCTCTCTCTCTATATATATATATATATATATTTTTTTTTCATTTCTCAAAGAAGATGCATTTAGAAATAATGGGTTTATTAGGTTAAACTCTAGTGTGGACTTCATTCACTGCTAGCACAAAATGAACATGTTTTTGATTGATTGGCATGTAATGCTGATAAGGTTGAGTGTTCCAAATCTGTTTGGTTGATGGGAAAGGAATGTGATTAGTTTAGAGGGGAAAGATAAAACAAAGAAGAGCCAAGGAACAAATAAACTTGATCTTCTGTGCCACAAAATAAACAGAAAAAATGCTAATTTCTTATATATAGCAGATTTTAATTATGAAATTTTCAGATAATCTCTGTTTAGGTGTCATATCTGTTTTTTTTTCTTCACGGACAAAGAATGATCACATAAATTACAGACTAACTAATCACCATGTTTCTGGCAGGGCATTTTGGACCACCGCTTTAATCAAATGAAAGAGTTAGAAAATGAAACTCCTGGTCTGGTTATGGAAGTGATTACCCTGGTCCTTCGCGATGGTGACGCTGGCATAGAAGAACTCACAAGAAATCTGTAATTTTCTTCAGAGCTTTCAAGTACTTGGTTTTTTAGTATAATAATTAATTATTATTACATATATATATTGACTGGTTTTGGAGAATTGGATTTTAGGAGAGAACGTGATATCAACTATCCTAAGGTGGCAGATCTTGCCCACAAGCTCAAGGGAATTGGCTCCAGGTAACATTGCCAATCACATTTAGGTTGCACACAACCCACTCAAAATATTTTATGATTGTTATGCCTGGTAAGGCTAAAATAATATCAAGGAACAAACAACCATTTCTAAGATTTTATTACCAAGATATTTTTCTGTATGACATGAGATTCTGGTTACATATCCAGAAGAGATTCTTTAGATATTTTCTTTTACGTAGACTTATAAGTATGGGTGTAGTATTTGTTGCTTGGGTTTAAACATTTAGAAGATGTATTGTTGGTTAGGAAGTTTCCAAAATGGGTGTAAAAGTACATGGCATGTAGATCACATTTGTTAGCAATCATTAACTAAAGATGTCAGTGTCACGCGTGCTACACGTTTAAAACATTTGGAAGGTAGCGTTGACGAGGAAATTTTTCGATTTGGACGTAAATGAACATGGTATGGAGATCAACTTGCGAGCAATCATTAACTAAACAAAATGGACCGTAAGCAATAATTAGTTAAAAGATTCTCCATTTTTGGTTTTTTTTATGAAGACATGTCTAAAAAAATTTGAGTAATAAGGTGCTAACGCGTGACAGATGATGGAGAAGTCAATGTCACGCCCATGCTAGCGCGTGACAGATGATGTTTCATTTGATTTACCCACGCTCATGTGTGGCATATGCAGATTCATATGATTCATCAAACTAAATGAAAAGCTTAGATCAGATTGTCACAACCTAGGCATTGCTCATCTCTTTCTACCCTGTCTGTAAATTGGGGGAAGAAGTGGGCAAACAGAGAAATAGGGTGGTTGCCACCACTCTGCTGTCTAATCCAGTACATTACTTCCATTCAATAACCAATTCCCTGTCATCATATGTTCTATCTGGAAAATCACTTGGATCCTAACCTGCCTGAATCTATGGTAGCACCTATCACATTGAATGTTGAAAGTGCTGGCTCATTGCCAACAGATAATTCTAGGGTTCTCATTACTAACCTCACAAATACTCTTAAATTCTATATCTTAGTGTCTCTATAAGTTTATGATTTTGGGCCTTTGAGGACTTATTGTCCTTCAAGCTATAGTTGAATTCAAGTTTCGACTTTTGAGTCTCGAAATGTCTTTTATTGAGACTGCACATTTAGTCTGTTTCTAATCGAGGGTCAAAAAGCGTACACAAACTTTAATTAAACAGCAAAATTAACAAGAGAAAAATTGCTAGTCAAGTTTTAAATGTGACAGAGGAAAAGGAAAAGGCTGCTGGGGGTCTAGTTTATTTCCTGTTGTAGAAAATATTACTGCCATCTATAGATGATTTCTTTATTACAAATGCTCAGCTTTTTATGCATCTTGTATCTTTATGAGCTTCGAAGAATGCAAATATGCTTCTTTGTACACCCTTTTACACTGGTAAGGGAATAATGATCCATTTGCTGCATTTGGAATTACAGTGTTGGTGGTTGCCGAGTTTCTGCTGCTTGTGTTGAGCTCCGACAAGCAAGTAATGCGAAAAATAAAGAAAGGTAATAATTTTTTCTCTCATCATCAAGCTGCTCAGTGCTAACGATGGAATAACATGTGTCCACATCATACAGTCAGGTATATTTCATATATTTTGCGGCACACATTATGCTATCAATATTGTGGAAAAAATGTTAGTTTCACAATTCCACAACTATAAATTTCCAAATGATTTATTTTTCAGAATTATAATTCCAGAGTAGTAGAATCCTTTAGGCCCTCATTTTCGGAGACAATTCTTTGACGAAAAATACTACATTCTCTTCGCAAAACTGATCATTATCTTGAATTTATTTGAGGGATGATCTAGGTAAATGGTACATAATAAAAAAGGGTGTGGATATTTATAAGAACTAACTATGCTAAAAAAAGTTGAACATCATTCCTTGTTTACGGTAGGATGATTAGATTCAAATCGTAACTCTGGTCTACCATGTGCCAGGTTAAGAGTTCTTAATAACCCTACCTATATAGCCTTGCAATATATTTAGAACATAAGGTATTGAATATCATAGATCTAAAAGGCTACATGTATATAGTGTATCAGAGAAAATATTTTAGCCACTTCACTCAGACTTATAGAAATTATCTCATGGAATCTATCCTAGAGACCTCTTATAAACACTCTTTAACCAAATGCTATGCTTTTTAGGTGCCTTGCGGACTTTGACGCAGTCAAACGTGAATATCTTGTCTTGCGGGAAAGTTTGAATCACATTCTTCAGGTAAATGTTCTGGAACGAAAATACAATATTAGTGAACACTTTCTGTGGTGGTTCTTCTCGGTTGCAAATGTTCTAATATTCTTACTTCTCTTTCTGTTTTTTTTTCCTAATAAAAACTTGGGAAATATACTGGAGTATAGATGGAACGCACAATCAATGCTGATGAGCCCAAAAGGCGACATGAGTAAAGAGCTGGTTCGTTCAGCCTTCTTGGAACTCTGTCTCCAGAAGATCAGATGGCTCTTTATATTGGCTATGTAATAAGTTTATTGCAGCTGAGCTTAGTATCTTTTGTAGGCAGGTCCATGACTTGTTTAGTGTTGCATTTGGTATTCCAATAAGTTCACTAGTACTGTTAAGTGAACATAGTGTCTTGTTATCTCTGAGACTGCTTTTGTCTGTCTAATGTTTCGAAATCAAGTTTGGACTTAATTTGGTGTTGTCTTTAACGTATGCTATCTTAGAACAAATTAGACTGCTACTGGATAAGAGAAATGCTTCTGGGGGACAACTTTGGTTCTAGACAGAATAATAATGAGACGTCATATAGTTATGAAAACATAAGAAAAGTCACGAAACAGAAATCCTACAGTGACGACGGTTGTGCGGAGAAGGAGATTCGGGTCTTGATTGCAAGTCTCTTCAAGTCACGGCCTGGGGGGGCGCAAAACCATAAAAGGTGTGAGTGGACGAAAAACAGGTTTAAACACAAATAAAACAAACATACTAACCCAGCCCTTTTTTTTTGAAAACCTTAGCCCGAAAGCCATGCATGTAAAACCCTTTTTAACGCGTGCCTGATTTAAAAACCTGTTTGATCTCAAAAACTCTTTTATACAAATAAATGCACGCACACCCGTAGTTATGTACCAGAGAAAAACAATCCAACGATGGGATTGTTTTACTAGACCACATGGCAGGATCCTCAATGCACATATGGCTAGGGAATGAGCAGTCCAATTGGGGAACCATTGCTCCCCAGACATGCACGGTAATCCTCAATACATGTGGGGTTGAAATATGTCATACGCGCGCTGATAGCCCGTCAAGGCCTTTGGTACACTTGAATAGGGGTGCTCGGTTCCCAACACGCCTCAGAAGAGTTACCGCATGTCAAAAATAAATAACTATAGTAATCGTAATACGGGAGGTACACACTATGGTAAGCATATACAACAATCAAACCACCAATAATATATATATATATATACACACACACATCGCATGCACAAACAATACTAAAATTCATTTTTACTTCAGATAGTGCCACAAGATCTCTTCTAATTTCCGCATGCAATATGTATCAATTTCCAATATTTACCATTTCCAAGTAAAAGAAATATAATTAATAAACTCATTTTAATGCATGAAATTTATACTTTTAAAAAAATGCTTATTTAAAACAAAGTCCACTCACAGAAAATCCAAGTTGGTATGGCTCGGTGGGGGTCCCGCTTGCTGTCTAGCAGGAGTCTGAGTACCTATTGAAGAAACATCGAGATATGTTAACAATTGTATTTCAAACCCGAACTTTAAATTAGAAAGAAAACCCTAATTCCTGGGATTTAAATGTGTAGTTTTTTTGTTAAGACAGTTTCGCTAGGTTTGTGGTCGACAGTTTGGTCAACTTTTCCTTTTTGGTCAATTCGGGCCCACGGGGCCTAGGATCTCTGATTTCCAAACCGAAAGTTCTCAAAGGTCCAACTCAAAACAAACAACCAGTTCCAAGGATTTGGTCTTGATCGAGCGATCGGATTACTCTCGATCGCATAATCAGACGGTTATTGGTTACCCAACCTTAAACTCCTTGAATCGAAGTATTTGGGACTCCGATTTCAGATCCACGAATTCCTACTCGATCCTAGAGATATGAGAAACAATATACTTGGAATTGGAGTCAATCCAATGGTCCGAACTTATCGAACCCAGATATCACCTAATAGGCGTAACTCCGTTCAACTGTCAAACGATAACCAAAATTGAATCCGAGCATATTGTTGTGCTCAAGACGACAAGGGGATCAAAACAGAATACAATGGGCCACCACACCATGACCACACGCCGGTAGGGTGTGGGTGGCTTGAGAAAATTCTATTGCCAGAAGTTTCTCAAATCATCCAACAATATATATACCTATGTGATCAGGGAAACTAAAGGAGCAACTTTTATAACTGGGCCGACCTCCAATTTGGCCGGGAAGTGGCCGGAAAACATTGCCAAAGGCGGACAAAACCTATGTTTCTAATCGAACACTCACAGCTTCAAATTGATCCAAACCAACTATCAAAGTAGCTAGAACACGAAAAATGGATGAAGAAGCATACCTTACTCCTTGGATTCCGTTGTTGGAATCGTCGAAAATGGTGACGGAAAATTCACATTTTTTCCTCTCATTCCAGTCGCTTCACGACTCGAAATCAGATCTGGAAAATCAATGGGTTGTGTAGAGGAGGTGGAGATGAGTGTTTTGCAAGTTGTTGTGTCGAGTTTGGTGGCCGGACAACGCCGGAATAGTCGTCGAAAATGGCGATGTCGTGCTGGAGAGAGAGAAGAGAGAAGTCGGGAGTGAGAGAGAGAGAATGCGTGAGGAAGCGAGTGTGCCATTGCACTTTCATTGATCATAACTTCTTTTTTAAAACTCCGATTTGGGCCCACTAGGTGTCTACGGACTCGTGAGAGCGAGCTCTACATAATGGCGCAAATCAATTCCTCAAAATCCTTTCCAAATTAAAAATGATCAATTTACCCTCACCCTTAAGGGTAAAAATGTAATTTGCCAATTAAATTTTTAATTGAATAATTATTTTAGATCGGGATGTTACATTCAGCATACATAAACTAAACATTGAAATTATTAAGAGTGCTGCTAAACGAACCCTAAAATTAACTGAGTACACCCTACTATAAAAGTATATATTGAATTACTGATTTACCCTAATATAAAATGACCAAAAAGGATATATGGAATTGTGAAACAAATATAATTTTAAGGGTAAACTACAATAAACCCCCCAACCTATAGAGTCATTTACGAGTCCATATCCGATTTTGGGGACATTTATAAGTACATACTCAACGTCACAGAAAACCTACAAATTAGCCCCTCTGTTAGCTAGTTCGTCAGGAAATCTGTTATCTGCCTACATGGCATTTGTGGGACCCATTTTTAATTGACGTGGAGTTCCACGTGGAAAAAAAAAATTCAATTTTTTTTTTAAATCATTAAAATTATTTTAAAATTGATTATAAAAAAACAAAAACAAAAACAAAAAACCAACCCAGAAGAACCCACCACTCTCCCTCGTCGCAACCCTCCCTCAACACCCACCCATGGCAGCCCAACACAAACAAAATAATCCATCTTCTCCAATATCCCCCTCCATTCTCAACCGTCATCCTCTCTCTCCTCCTACCACCTTCTCCGACCCAATCCAACCCACAATATGAATTCCGACTATATCCCTCATCCATCACCAACTCCAACCCGAAACCCAGCACCTGCGCCCCCATCCTCAGCCGCTATCTTTTTCACCAGAGAGAAGCTTGGAAAAGAACCCAGATGCATAAGCTAAGAACCCAGATTGACCAACTCAAATTCTGCAACATCTCGATTGAGTATGGCAGTGCCTCCAGAAGATTCGAAGACAAATTTATCTCTTCAAGCTTCTCTAATCTAGCTATTGAATCAGGAATTACCTGTTCAAAATTGATTTTTTTTTTCCTTAATTCAATATTAACAAGTTAATTAAATCAAATCAAACCAAATGAAAAGAAATCTAACCTGGGGTTCATTATTGGAAAGATCGAGCATAAGCAAACCCCGAATCCGGCCAAAGGCCTCGGGCAAGAACAGCAAACAGCCGACCGGAGAGGTTGACCTTGTCTAGCTCGATTCCGGAGGCCTCCTGTAGAATCCCAACCACCATCTCATGGACTTGGTTGCTGGTGAAACCCTCCTCCTCCACCTTGTCATCTTCGACGACGACGACGAGGGCGGGGCGGGGTGAGAGAATGAGCTCGTCTAGCTTCTTTGCCAAATCGGAATCAACGGCGGCGAGCCTGGCCTTGGAAACGTCGACGGCCTCGTGGTCAGGGCGGTCGCCGAGGGTTTTGAGAACGGAGCGGGTCTAGGAGACGTCGGATATGGCATGGGGGAGGTGATGGGTTGGGCCAGAACAAGAGAGGTGTTAAGGCTGGGATAGGTAGCCTAAGTAAGCTTGGGTGGTGGTTTGGGTGGCTGGGGGCTAGGAAGAGAGGAGATCAGGAGAGAGAGAGAGAGAGAGAGAGGGAGAATTTGGGTATGGTTTTTTTATTTATTTAAAATTTAAAATTAATTTTTTTTTTAATTTATCAAAATTATTTTATTATTATTATTATTTCTATGTGGAACTCCAAGTCAATTAAAAATGGGTCACACAAATGCCACGTAGGCAGATAACAGATTTCCTGACGGACTCGCTAACGGAGGGGGCAATCTATAAGTTTTCCGCGACTTTGAGTATGTACTCATAAATGTCCCCAAAATCGGATATGGACTCGTAAATGACCCTATAAGTTGAGGGGTTTACTGTAGTTTACCCTAATTTTAATAAGTATACCCTACTAACCATATTCAACCCTAATCAAGAGATTGCTTATCCTATTGTGTTTTTAACGAAAGAGGTGGTGATTGCAAGAACTTGGAATTGCAAAAAAAGTGTCAACAGTTTTCGTAGAAGCATAAATCCATATGAAAAGTCAAAGATTTATAAATACTATTAAAAAAATCAAGTTGAAAATAAACTATAAAATAATGCTACAAGTATTAGGGTGCACTAGGGGTATTTTTGGTAGTTCTATAGGGTGTACTTAGTTAATTTTATATTTTAATTAAAATATTAGAGTGTACCTAGATCATAAGGTGTACTAAGTTAATTTTAAGGTTCGTTTAGCAGCACTCAATTATTAATTGTCATAAATTTAAACGATGGAGATCTAAATTTTGTCATTTAAGAATTCTATGTAATTTTCAAATCCTTTATCTAAACGGAAGGAGCAGGAGCAGACCAAGGCGGCGGCTGAGGTTTTTGTTAAAGGACCAAAATAGAATTCATGTATAAATTTAGGAACCATTCTGATTGAACACTCTTTTTTTTGTTATTGTCAAAAGTCCTGTTTACCTTTAAAAAACTATAGCATGTGCCAACCATGTAATTCAAACTGACGGAAATTGATACAGTGAGACCAATTTGTCATGAAATAGAGAGTTGGAGAACCAAAATTCTATCGGGATAAATTCAGGCACTATTTCGGTCGAAAACCCCAAATTACAAAATTACAAACTTATTCCAGTGAAGGAACGAGAATGGCAAAGCCCCAGCCTACTCGTATTTCATTGTGGGGTGGGTCCCACTCCGACGGCAACATGAGGAAACCCTTGTTGTGGGCTCCGGCACTTGAATTGGGGGGCGCGTGAGCTACATAAAAAATGTATCTCACAGGGAGACACAGAGAGAGAGAGAGAGAGAGAGAGAGAGAGAGAGTCAGAGTTGCGTTGGTGACCCCTTTGGACTAATGAGTAATGGGGATACCAAATGAAGCAGAAGGCGCAGGTAATACTTCCAAAGCAGGACGAAACCGCCAGTTTAGAATTTTGCGAAAATGATGATGCACTTGGCAATCATGCCACCCTTCCTCTCTCACTAAACCCTATCTGACTCTGAGAACAAACAAGGCTCTCTCTCCTCTCTTCATCCTCCGCGTTCATTAAAACCCAGAGAGAGACAGAAGAGAGGAGGGAGGGGCCTTGTTGGTTTCTGAGACACAGCAGCTGCTCTCTCCTCAATTTTATCCCTGCAGAGGAGAAAGAAAATGCCTGGAGCGACTCTGCTCACCCAACAACTCAACAACTTCATCCGCTCCTTGCGGGAGCAGGTCACCTCATCATCATCACCTCCATTTGATTGCTTTGCTTTGCTTCTCTCTTTTTTTCTTCTTTCTTTCTGTTTTTCGATACAATCATTGTTTTGGTTTTTTTTAGTTTTTGGTTTTATTTGAGGAGTTTTATAAGTTTTTGTTTTTGTTTTTGTTTTTGTGAGGAAGATAAGTAAAAAGGAATTGGGTTTTCTTCACTGAGTATTGCTAGCGCAGAAAGGAGATATGTTTCTAATTGGCATGTAATGCTGATGAATTTGGTGCTCCCAATCAGTTTTGGTTAGTGAAAAAGGAAGGAAATATGGAGGTGGGGAAGGGGAAAGAAAACAAAAATGGCGGCGTTGGTTCTGCTAATTTTTGTAATATGATATCGATGATGTTGTGTCTGCACTCTGCAGCTAAGAAAGATGATATCTTTCCAGGGAACAAAATATACTTTTATCTCTGTGCCACCAAGCATACCCCAATTTAGTCAGTTTCTGTAATTTAAGATAATCTCTGTTCAGTTTTAGATCATTTTTCAACCTTTATCATAGGGTTAATATTTGGGTTGCTGGTTTTCTTTAACAGACAAAGAATGGTCATATAAATTAGAGACTAATTAATGACCACGTTTCTGGCAGGGAATACTGGACTTCCACTTTGAAGAACTGAAAGAGTTAGAAAGCGATACTCCTTGCTTAGTTGTGGAAGCAATAACCATGTTCCTTCGCGACGCTGACTTTTCTATAGCAGAACTTCTAAGAATTCTGTAATGCCTTCAATGATTTCAAGCAATTGCCTTTTTTAGTATAGTTATTATGTATGTATGTGTATATTTCTACTGACTGATTTTGGAGAATTCGATTTTAGGGGTGCACCTCTTATCAACTACACTAGAGTGACAGAAATTGCCTTCCAGCTCAAAGGAAGTAGCTCAAGGTAATATTGCCTATTACTTTTTGGGTTTCTGCCCATTTACATGCAATTTACTAAATTTTTTTTATGATTGTGATGCATCTGTGTGGTTTGGCAAATTTACTATATGAAGCATTGCTAAAATTTTCTTATCAAGCAGTTATTGTGCATGACATGATATGTTGATTACATATCCCAAAGGAAGTCTGAACCATTTGCGCAGGACTCTCTGCATGTTTAAAACATTCAGAAGATACTGTTGGTTAGGAATTTTCCAATTTGGATGTAAATCTGCAGGACATATATACATCATGTTTGTGATCATTAAATGAAACAATCTATTGTAAGAATGAGTTAAAAGATCTCTGAATTTGGTTCTTTATGCAAGTGTGCATATCTTATCCAAAATATTTGGAAGTGATATAACTACAAAATCCAGTGAAGACACTGATGCCACTCGTGTTGCATGTTTAAGATATCCAGAAGATATCTGTTGGTTAGGAATTTTCCAGTTTGGATGTAAATGTGCGTGGCATGTAGATCACAGTTGTAAGCATTCATTAACTAAAGCAATTGATCTTAGCCAATCATTAGTAAAAAAAAACGTTTCCATGTTTTGAATTATTTATGCAAACAACAAATATCTTATCCAATAAAACTCGGAAGCGACAGTGAAGATGTGAATGTTCACGCGCTCTGCTTTTTAAAACATTCAGAAGATGGTATTGGTAAGGAATCTTTCATTTTGGATGCTAATGTACATGGCATGAAGATCCTGTTTGGAATGGATCATTAATGAAAGCAATTAATCGTTACCAATCACTGTTTAAAACATTTCCAGTTGTTGGATATTTATGAAGACATAATTATCTTATCCATAGAAGTTGGAAGGAAGTGCTAACTAAGAAATCTAGTAGACTAGTACTGTAGGCAATGCCACGCATATGCTAGCGTGTGGCGTATGCAGTTTCAAAATTATTTTTGGAAGATAGTGCTAACTTAAATCTAGTGCTGAAGTAGTCAACACCACGCGAATGCTAGCGCGTGGCGTATGCAGTTTCAAAATGCTTTTTGGAAGCAAGTGCTAACTCAGAAATCTAGTACTTAAGTAGTCATTTGCGTGGTGTATGCAGTTTCAAAATGCTTTTTATTGTGACGCCATAGTGATTATTCCCCATCTAGTCTGTTTCTAACCTGGGGCTAACCAGTGTACACATACTTTTATTAAATGGTTATTATTGATAAAGATAAATTGCATCCAAAGACACTATATAAGGCTGACTTACTACTTATATTTATTGGTTATGGATTTTCAGTTTTGATCCCTCTGAATTTGTGTATTGCATATTATATGAGCCCAAATGATGCTTCTCTGTTTTATCCTTTTACTTTGGTAAAAGAATATTGATGCCATTCAGTGCATTTGGCATTGCAGTGTTGGTGGTTGCCGGATGGCCCAAGCCTGTTGTGAGCTTCGAGATGCAAGTGAAGCATATTCCAAAGAAAGGTACAAAACTGTCCTCTTACCTTCACCAAGCTGGCTTTAACGATGAAGCATATATTTTACAGCACCACATGTATTATCAATTTTGAGGAAAACATGCTAATTTTACAATTCTGCAACCACCAAAATTTGAAGGTTCTTTCTTTCTTTAGAGTTTAGAGGATTCATCTCTTAGACAATTCTTTGACAAGGGTTAGGCCAAAAGGAACATAAGCAAGGGTTTCAATTTAATCTAAGACTCACTCCCTTTTGCCTTCTTCATGTCTTCAATTCCAATTGATTTATGCTCTAGGTATATGGTACAGAACGGAAAAAGATGAGGATATTATAAAATTAATTGCTCAAAAATTTGAACATCATTCCTTGTTTATGACTTCTGTACATATGGTTAGGTTCAAATTCTAACTCTGACGTTAGCATGTGTCACAGTAAGTTTTAAAGATAGCCCTACCTATATGAAGCTTTGCAAAATACTTAACGGCTTAAGGTATTAAAACTTACAGATTCAAATATCTTAGAAACATTCTGGTAAAGAGAAAGAATACTATTGAACAACCTTGGAATTAGTGCTAGTTGGGACAATACACGTTTCAACATGACAAGGAATTTTTAGCTGTGTCCTAATGCCCCTTTTCTTACTGAAACTCTTTCTTTGGAAAATGCTATCTTTTAGGTCCCTTTCAGGCTTTGACAGGGTCAGACGTGAGTATCTTGTCTTGCGGGAGAATCTGAATCAAATTCTTCAGGTAATACTTATTCTGAACTTTGATCTTTCTCAGCTTCACTTTGTAGATATGTTTCTTTGTCTTTTTTCACATACTGTAGCAAATATATAGATGTATACAGAGGTCATGTATGTTAAACAATAAAGAGTACATGCTAACAAAAGAATAACCGAGCTTTTGGACTTTCTAACACCTTATGAAGATGCCATATTTTTGTTGTTGTACTGACTGCAGAAGGAAAAAAATGGATTGATCATTTCTAGAACAAAAACCCTATAATAGTAGAACACTTTCTGCGGTGATTTTCAATTCAAATTTGAAATGCATGCTGCAGATTTTGTGTGCCCAACTTTTTTTTTTTTTTTTTTTTTTTTTTTTTTTTTTTTTTTTTTTTTTTCAAAAACTATATCTGAAAACATACTGGGTTACAGATGGAACATGCAATTAACGTGTTTGAGCCCAGAAGGAGCCGTCAGTAGAGAGGTCGTTTGTTCAGTCTGCTAGCTTTTCTCCAGAGGATCAGATCATGTGGTATATTAGCTGTATACTAGTGTTTATTACAAGAACTTGGTATCTTTTGTAGACCGGTTTATGACTAGTTTTGTGGTGGATGAAGTGAATATAGTTGAGACTGACTGTCTGTTTCATGTTGTGATATAAAGTTGGGACTTCATTAGTTCATTTGGCATCGCCTTAAAGTTTGCTCTCTTATAAATACATTTGACTGCTAGTGTATAAGAAAAATGCTTACTGCAAAAATTCTAGTATTTATTTACCATTAAGTTCCATATATATATATATATATTTGTGATATTTAATTTTGTTTTCAAAATCGATGACAGAGATGAAGCTCTGTCATTATTTTATAAAGGGAAAAAGAGTGTTGAATATATATGATGATTTTATTACTCCCATTTTCACTGTAGACGAAAGGGACCATCAGCTTATTTCACTATCGAAATTATAAAAAGACCCCGAAAGGAGAAAACTTTGGTAGGAACTTCCCTCCAAACGAACATTCAAATATTTCTTTATTTTTTTTTCGGAAATCCAAATATCTTCTGTTTTTTGTCCGAAAAAGAAATTTATCTTCTTTTTAAAATGTTGGGGGAGGGGGAAATGGAACCTAAGACCTAAGATGTAGGGACTAATGCTTTTAATCACTTGAGCTATAGGCCCATAGCGATACGTTGATTCTTTAATAAATGGTACAATTAGTTAGGAGTGAAATTGACAAGGATTTGGTGGAAAATTCAAGCCCAACACGATGCCCTTAGTTCAGGTTCGAGTCCTATAGTGAGGCCTTATATGAGGTCAAACAATTAAGAGATAGGGCCTTATTCACTATGGAATTATCAGTTCGGGTTCGGCATTTGAATTTATAACTTGATTAGAATTAAACAACTCAACTCAGAAGTCAACTATATCCCAATATATTTGGGATTGAGTGATTAGCCAAATTATATGTAATTGATTGTACATGATTGCTTTCCTTTATTAGTCTCTTGATTGTAGGAAACTTGGGTATAGATACCATTGACATTGTAAAAGAGAAAATTATCAAGTAATCAAATATTCTTCCTTTGATTACAATTTTACAAGATTGCCCAAATTGAACAAGTTGGGCTAGAAGAAGGTTTAACCTTAACCTGTAAGGCGTTTAAGCCCCCAAGTTCAACCCACAAGCTCAATCCCCAATAAAACCGAAAAGGAAAAACAAATGACTTTGAGAAATGTAAATAAGTTAGGCTGCATGCGTACAGTCAAACAGTAAAACATGAAGGAGCCAAGCGAAAATCATGAAGTTCATGCTGAAGTTATGAAGAAACAAAGTACATGCAAAGCTCATGCCAGTTAAAGACTCATATACATGTTATAACATATATGTAGCATGAAAACAACACACAGTACAGTATGCTATATATAACCATGCATGCATATTCCAGCCAGAGGTTTCATTTCTCTGTTTTGCAATTGCCTTTCTTCCTCGTTTCGCTTTGATCTCTCTCTCTCTCTCTCTCTCTCTCTCTCTCTCTCTGAGGAAAATGGCTGGGAGGATGGACATTGCCGAACAGCTCAAGCAACTCATCTCCTCCTTGAAAGAACAGGTCAACTCACCCCCATTAATATCTTTGTTCATCAGTTTATTGCTTTGCTTATATTTATCTTACTTTCCTCTCTTCAAATTCTTGTTTTTTAGAAGTGTTTTTTTGGAGGACTTATGTTTGGAGATAATCTTTGTTTCTCAGAGTATATAGATCATTTCTTCCTCCCTCTTCTCTTTTATTAGTTACCTTGATCATGGGGTTATTTTATATTGCTGGTCTACTTTCTTAGTATTAGTTAATGTCAACATTTCAACTTTTGATAACAAACAAAATCTGATCAAGTAAATTAATATTTCAGCTAATTAATTAAATTATTAAACTATATATATATATATGTTTCCTGGCAGGGCATTCTAGATGAGAAGTTTGATGAAGTGATGAGACGGTTGAAAGATGAACGAAACCCTCGCTTTGCTGTTGAAATCATAAACCACTTCTACGGTGATGCTGAAAATAACCTAGAAGAACTTACATACCTGTAAGTAATAATTTTCTTCACTGTTTTCGTTAAGTAATTATTGGGGTTTTCACATACATAATGTGTGTGTCTATGTATATATATTGATTTTGGAGAATTCAATTGTAGGAGTGTTCTTCCTATCATGGACTATCCTCAGCTGACAAATCTCGCCCTCAATCTCAAGGAAGCTTGCTCAAGGTAATTGTAGATCATTTTTTAGATGCCTATTTACTGTGCATACATACTAAGAAGAAAAGTATGATTTTGATGCACCTGTGTTGTATATGCTGTACATTGCCAAAATAATGTGTGAAGAACACCATATCAGCTTGAAAAACATAAAAGAGAACAAAATATCATCATATTATTGCTAGTAATTTCTTATAAAGTACCCAAAAGTTATATTTTAGTGTATAGAATTTTTTTAAAAAATTTATGCTGTACACCGTTAAAAATTCTATTTCTTGTCAAATCATATTCTTAATTTAACTATGTGCTTACTAACATGGAATGGGAATGCGAAGATTGGGAAGTTACTCCCATTCAAGGTCATTTCAGTGTTTACTAACACGACTATACACACACATAGCATTGGTCATGAATCGTGATCTTAAAAATATATTTCAATTTTGTATTATGAGCTCAAATGGATATAACATCTTAATTTGTTGCATTAACTCAAAGAATATTTGACATTGATCCCATTTGCGGCATTTTGGAATTACAGTTTTGGTTGCAGCCGGATGGCCATTGCCTGCGGCGAGCTCCGAGATGCAAGTGAAGCAAAGAACAAAGAAGGGTAATAAGATTTTTAACTTGTTCTCTCATTATCACCAAGTAATGGTAATTTCAATATATCTTTGTGTTTTTTCTTTATATATTTTTTGTGGAAAATTTTAGCTGCTTCACTTACACTTTTATAAAGCAGCCTTATTTATTTTTCTCTAGGTGCCTTATGGTTCTTGAACATATCCGCCGTGAATATGCTGTCCTGCAGAAGAATCTGAATCAAATTGCTCAGGTAATATTTCTTATAATAAACAAATATATAGAGCATGTAGAGACTTATTAATTATGACTATGCATCGATGAATAAACGTGCTTAAAAAGAAATAAATTGATTGATAATTTCTTGACCCGAAAAAAGAATACAGAAATGTACACAACTTCAACGGTGATTATGCTCCCACAGGTGCACTAATATTCTTATTTTTATTTCCTTCACAAAAAAAATAAATTCTGGAAACATAACGCGGCGCAGCTGGACCGAGCAATTTATGAAAATGCGATTAGAGGACGCTATTATTAAGTAGAGAGCTGCTATGTTTGATCTGTTCGGTCTCTCCAGAAGATCATATTATATGTTCTTGAATAAGTTTGATATTATAACTTTTGAATAAGTTCACAGTGATCAAAGGAACATTCCCCGTTTAAGACTTAGTTTTGGATATCCTTTGGTGTCTTTATGTTATCTTTTAATTTGGCTACTATTGGATTATAATCTCCACCATTTGATTGTCACATTTGTACTTTTCATTCCATTTCTTTTGGTAGGACCAAAAAACCAGTCAACCGATAAAACTGACTAATCGGCCGATTTGATTCAAATTTTGACTGGAATAAAAGTTAAATGGAGCAGTCTTCGGTTTAGTTATGCCTAGCTACGGTTTTTAAAACCTACAAACCGTTCCAATCGGGTATTTTAGGAAGTGCAAGTAATTGATTATTGATGGGTTATCCCTCTTTTGGTCGAGGAAGGAGAGAGAGAAAAATATGGTTGGTTGTAAGATAACAAAAGGAAAAGAATCCTTTGATAAAACTGAATTTTTAATAGCCGCATCAATTTCATTAATAAAAGGGCATTACAAGAACATAGCCCCCATATTTAATAAGAATGTTTTGTTGATATTCATAATATATGCTTTCCAAAATATGGATCTTCACAATTCAGTTTATAGTATATAGCAGAAAAGCTACCCAGAGCAAATCATGTCCATGCCTAGTTATATAAATTGACCTATGGTTGTGCGGTTGGACTGAAAACACCGAAAATCGCCCGTAACCGACCGTCAATGGATTAAATTTTGATATGAATTTGATTTAATTAATAGGATATGGATTGAGACTTTCAACCTCATAATCTGATATCCCGTTAACTTAGCAAATAAACTATGTGTTATAGATGATTTGACCAGAAAATAGTTCTGGAAATTTTATATGGATGTGTACGTAACGGCAACTTGAGTCTTTAGACACTGAAAATGTAAGTGTAACAACCCTTCCTGGAAATTCCTTTATGTTACTTAAATCCAAGCTACTTAGACCATTTTACCCTTAGGAGTTTAAGTTTTGTTTTCGGGAGTCTAGTTTTCAGATTTTTCTTTGTACTTGGACGTAGAGCTCCATCCAACAAAGGCGTAGGCGGAAACAAATCTAGAATTGGAGTTGAAATAGAAAAGTTACACGGCTTTAAAGTTCAAGAGTTGCAAGAAAAAATGAACCCTAAAACTGCACCCAAGTGTGTGCCACATGGCATGCCTAGATCATATATATATATATATATATATATATATATATATATATATATATATATATATAGGGAACTTCAGTTTAGGGATCCCTCAAATTTGAGGGACATCTTTGTAGGTCCCACTCTGTATTATATCTCACTAACACAAACCGTCTATTTTGTAGATAGTCATTCAAAGATCTCTCTACAAAAAATCACTTGAATCCGATATCATCTGACCACTCAATTAAAATATTAAAATTTTAGTACTTTCTTGAAGCACCGTGTTCATTGATTTTGTAGGACATAATTGGATGTTGAAATGATTTCCAATTTGTCTAATTTTTTTGCAAGGATGATCTATGAATGTAGACTTAAAAACATATGGTTTGGATCATTGAAAAAAAATTCACGACAATGCTACGTCATCGTTCGACCACCATTGTTTGCTTCACTTGTCAGAAAATGTTCATGATCAACCGACCATTGTAACCAACCAAAGATCCGACCCAAATTGACGTCATACGCCACGGATATTGAGTGAGAAGTGGGGTGTGCCAGCAACTGACAACGAAAAGATTCCCGCCTCCGCCATTTCTAATCAATTTTCCAGCCAATCATGACAAAAATTCACGTAGGCCTATATATGAAAGTTGCTCCTCTCAGTGTTGTCTTTAATTTGGCATGGTTGGCAATCGAAAATTTTAGAGGTGACCTATTTTTACCCCAGTGTGATGTCCCTAGTTGTCCCAAGCATTATTGTTTGCATTGATTCGATCATTTGCCCGATGATCAGAGACTTCACCTATTATGGATCGTTTGATAAAAGATGATCGGACCGTTGGATTATCTCCAAATTTTAGTATGTGGTTCCTGATGTTGCTAGAAGTGTGTAGAAACTTACTGAACAAAAGTCCGAGGTTCGCATGTCACATCCCGGGATCGGCTCCGCCGTAGCACGATATTGTCCGCTTTGGGCTCCCCTTTCTGCCTTCACGGTTTTGTTTCTGGGAACTCACGAGCAACTTCCCAGTGGATCACCTATCCTGGGATTGCTCTAGCCTCCAACTCGCTTAACTTCGGAGTTCCTATGACTCTGAAGTCAGTGAGCTTCCAAAAGGCCTCGTGCTAGATGGAGGCGGGTATGTACATATAAAGCACATCACCCCCTCTCTGTTGGTCGATGTGGGATGTTACAATCCACCCCCCTTAAGGGCCCGACGTCCTCGTTGACACACTAGCACCACATGGCAGAGTGGCTCTGATACCAAATTGTCACATCCCAGGATCGGCTCTGCCGTAGCACGATATTTTCTGCTTTGGGCCCCCTCTCTGCCCTCACGGTTTTGTTTCTAGGAACTCACGAGCAACTTCCCAGTGGGTCACCCATCCTGGGATTACTTTAACCCCCAACTCGCTTAACTTCAGAGTTCCCATGACTCCGAAGCCAGTGAGCTCCCAAAAGGCCTCGTGCTAGATGGAGGCAGGCACACCACCCCCTCTCCGTTGGTTGATGTGGGATGTTACATCGCATGTCTCAAATTGTCTCGATTTACACGAATCAATCGTCGTCCGGTTATACTATCTACAAAGATCCAATCGTTGGATCGAGGCTAAATTGATAGGTTGTGGTTGGATGACTATCCTTGACCTGTTGGAAATCACGAATTAGGAATCCGGTTTTGATTAATTTAGCATCAGACCTTTTGTGAGTGGACTTTTATTTTGAAATAAGGACAACGAGCTTTTAAATTGAAAACCCTTTGCACATCAATGGTTTTGAATGAAACTCGATTTAATTATCGTCTCTAGCTTATGATGTTACCAACATTGTTTTAATATGTTTTTCCTTGAGATTTTATGGTTACATTGATAGAATTGAGATTTTTCGAAAATTTTCATTATCATTTTGATTTCTCGATTATACTATGACTTTATATGGCTATATATTGAGATTGAGAAAGACTTCGGAAAAACACAAAGGAGAGAGAAATTTTGTAAAAGAAGCCAAAATGGACAAAATTGCCCTTATTTATTTTTGGATTTCCTAAGGAATCCTTTACATTTGCATGTCTTTGATTTGAAAGTTGAGAGATTTTTCTGTCTTTTTTGAAAAAGCTTTGGCTTTTTTCAAAAGTGAAATTTTTTTTTACTAAAACCTAAATTTACTTTTTTTAAAAGACCTTATGATTACCCTCCCCTAGTTAACAATATAATGAGATACAATTAGGCATTTGGAACCCATCAAGACATAGGTATCTACTTTGAGCGAATGAATAAAATAAAAGAACGAATTTGTTGATGAGATTTTAATTTTTTAGGTCTTAAAATAAATCCAATATTTTTCCAATACAATCGAATTTGTTGATAAAAGAACCATATTGATGCTTATTGGATAAGAATTGATAAGTTCAATTAATTATTCAAATACAAACTAATAAATCAAGGGTGCTGCTAAACGAACCCTAAAATTAACTGAGTACACCCTAATATTTTAATCAAAATGTAAAATTAACTAAGTACATCCTATTTAACTACCAAAAATACCCTTAGTACACCCTAATACACTCTATTACACAACACCCTAATACCAATCCTAAACAAAGTTTCTCTTTTTCTGAGTGTTATACTTTTCCAGCTCTTACTTCTTGCAATTTCTACACTCATGAATCTCAATGGCTACAATTTATTTAAATTTTTTACTTTGGCCGGAAAGCAAGGGCATAGAAGACTTTCCGGCCATACAAACAATCTGACTATAAAAGGATTTGGGCTAAGGCGATAAAATCTAAATCAAATATTGGGTTGGGCTCGGGGCGGGTCTGGTTGCACCCATCCAATTTGCATTCCTATACTAGAATTAGTAAAACATGAACAAAAAGCCAAGCACAAATAAACAGACCATCGTGAAGCTCATGAAGGTATGGAATGAAAAGCCAGACCAGAGACATGCAAAGCTCATGCCTCTTGAGTCTTAACGCACATTCTATGCAGCATGAAAATAACATCCACACAGCCTATATATATAAATAAAACCATGCATCTGTCTCTATTGCCTTCTCTTCAGTCATTTCATCACTTTCATCTCTGTACTCTCTCTCTCTCTCTCAAAACAAAACAAAAAAAGAAGAAGAAAAAAATGTTTGGGAAGGAACTTGACCAAGAGCTCAAGGAACTCGTCAGCTCCTTGCAAGACCAAGTCCTTCTCTAATCTTTTTACTTTTGGAGTTTATTGCTTTGCTTTTTTTTTTTTTTTTTTTTTTTTTTTTTTTTTTTTTTTTTTATTTATTTATCTTAACTTATTTTATTTTATTTGTTTATTGTGTAATTATATAATTTCTGTTTCTTCTCTCTCTTTTTTTTACCCTGATCAAAGGGTTACTATTTATGTCAATATTTTATATTTTAATAATATATAACAAAAAGATGATCAAGTTAAATTAATATTGCGGCTAATTAACTACTATATATACGGACGTTTCCTGGCAGGGAATTTTGGACGAGCAATTTGATCAAATGAAAGCAGTTCAGAATGAACAAAATCCTTGCTTTGTTGTGAATTTGATCACCACATTCCTTGGTGATGCTGAAAATATTTTGGCACAACTCAGGACATATCTGTAATTTTCTTCACTGTTTTAATTTACTATTTTGTTTTTACATATAAATTATTTATATTATATATATATATGTATTGATTTTGGAAAATTCAATTTTAGGAGTGCTGAGGATCCTGATGAAGTCAACTATCCCCAAGTGGCAACTCTTGCCCTCACGCTCAAGGGAAGTAGCTCAAGGTATAATAAATTGAATGCCACAGTTTATTTTAATTTTAAATGCTAAAACCTTTTTATTTTAGGTTTTGTTGCTAAATGAAAATTCAAAGCAATTTTGCACAAAAAAAGCATGAACAAAATTGTAAATTTAACAGAATGTTGTGACCTAAACTAAAGTAGACGGATCCGAAATAGCTCAAGATAAACTAGAATGTCAACTAATTTTTTGACCAAGAAATAGTGACAACCGTATTTATATTGAGTTGAGTTCAACTAAATGTTCTGTTTTTTTCTTGTTAACCGTATTTTAATTAAATGAAAAAGTGACATGTGTAAGGATGTGAAGAATTGTTACACATCGAAATTTTTTAAAAACCTGCAAGGATTTACAAAAAGTTGGATTACTCCCCACCCTCTCCCCCATAAAAAAAAGAAGAAGTAATAAATTAATTTTTTCACGCTTACTATATACATAAAGACTAACCATGGTTTTAAGTTTTTAATGTTGAATGATATATGTATAGAAAATAAGCCCAAATTATTCTTTCTTGTACATCCTTTTGTCACACTAAAGAATTTAATTACATTGATCCTCTCTGCTGAATTTGGACTTACAGTGTTGGTGGTTGCCGGATGGCGTTAGCCTGTAGCCAGCTCCGAGATGTAAGCGATGTAAATGACCATGAAGGGTAAGAATTGGATACTATTAATTATAGCGAAATTATATTTCTTAATATTCACTCAAGACTTTTATTAAAAAAACCCTTATTTGATCTACATGGATAAAGACCTCTCTTATGAAAACTGTTTTTGAGGCAAATCTTATGCTTCTAGGTGCATTATTGTTCTTGACCTTGTTAACCAACAGTTTCTCGTCTTGCGGGAGAATCTGAATCACATTGTTCAGGTACCGGAAATTCTTAGTTTTAACATGCATTTTTTTACTTCATATTTTCCTCTTGTTTTGTTCTAATATTCTTTTTTTTCCCCCAACAAAAATCTGGAAACATAATGGAGTGCAGATGGAACGCGCAATCCATGAAAATGAGGTCATCAAAAGGCGCAATATGTAGAGAGAGCTGGTTTGTTCACTTTGTTAGAGAAGCTCATTGGTTTCTTTATTATGTTGTTGGCTATGGAATAAAATTTCATTACTGAACTTACTATCTATTATTACAGACACATATATATTATGGGAAAATTATGGTTTCTTTATTATGTTGTTGGATAGATAAACTATTTTGAACAAACTCTTGGAAGAATCTTTTCACAAAAAATATGAACACAAATTTTAATTTATATATATTTTGAATTTCTTTTTACTTTTTTGGTTACATCAAAATATTTTACAAAAACAAAAACCAGTGACATGCCTATTTTATTCACATAGAAAAAAATTCGTAGATGCCAAGATGTTAGTATTGATTTTTTTTTTCCTTATCAAGAACACAAACATTCATTAAACAATCCAAAACCAATTAATTACAATTGACAGACCTGTGTGGTAAAGAGTGGCGTTATTAAAACATTGCCTTATAAAAACCCCCCCGAAGGAGGAAAATCCGGTCAATGAATTACAATATGATTGAATTGCATTCACGCTCCCCTGTCTCAATAAAGATATACCACAATAAGTTAAATATATGAGTTTTCAACTAAAATGGTCTTTCAACTTGTATCCGAGCTATATCTTAGTTCTCCAACTAAATTATTCACTCAAGTCATCCTCTAAATCTCTATTTCAGCACAAATTGGTCTCATTGTAACATTTATCGTCAGGTTGTGCAGACTAGTTCCATCGTACCATTTGACAACCCAATTTTTTTTTGGTACCATTTAAAATATTCTATTTATAGAGTATAGCCGTACGGCTATATTATTTAAATATACACCTACAATAAAATATATGGATTTCTCTGTAGCAAAGTGGAGCCTTGAAATAATGAATCAATTTAACATGGTATGTGTTTACGTTCCAACTTTGTTCCTCTGTGTGATCTTAGGGTTGAGGGAAAATTTATGCCTTGTTTGTGTGTTGTTGCTTATCTTTTTAGGTGCCCTTTGTCATATTTCCTTAAATATATTCGAATATTTAAATAGTATAGTAGTGCGGCTATAAAGATATATATATATATATATAATGTTTTAATTATTATTTCATGTAAAAATTAAAAAACAAAGTCCACAAAATAATTCAAAATAATTAATTACTATTCATTAAGTAATTTATGAAATCAGTAAAATATTTAAATATTCACTAGAGAAATAATAATTAAAATATAATTACTAATTAAAGTAATTAAAAAAGGCTAAGATACAACTTAATTTCATACCATAAATTAAAGAAGTTGGCCAAAAAATAAAAGTAAAGAAAATTAATTTTATATTTTAAAAATTAAAAAATAATACGCAAAACGACAAGTCGTCGGCAAAGGTCTACATCGACAAATATTACTGGATTAGACTTCCCTTGAAGAAAGTGACCTCCGCCGGCAAATATCGTATGGATAGACATGTTCAGTAATTAAATAATATCTTAGTCTTATTTAATTACTTTCATTGGTAATTCTATTTTAATTATTATTTCCTTAGTCAATAATTAGGACTAAATGTTTTAATTAACTTCATAAATTGGTAAAAACCCAGTATAGCCACGCGGCTATACGATTTCTTTTAAAAAAATTGGAAAAAACAGAGTCTAGCCGGGCGGCTATACTATTTCTTTTAAAAAATTAGAACAAACTGAGTATGGCCACTCGGTTATACTATTTATTTTAAATGGTATAGCCGCCTGTCTATCCTATTTAAGAAAAAAAATTTATGAAAAAAGGACCCTCCTAGGTGCATTAGTTTATACTTTATTGATATTAATTTGCAATAGCTGTGTGGCTATACGAATAAAATATGTACGTCTTTTATGCGGAAAACTTTTTGGCAAATTACACCTTAAAGTTTGGCCACTATATAATAATTTAATATATATTATTTGTATTCAATAATATGTGATAATTATGTGTATAATACATGAATTTTATGTGTATTATTGAAACTTATGTAAATAATGTGTATTAAACATGAAAAATATGTCGAGTAAAGCCTCTTAACTATACTTTAAAAAAATAAATAAATAAATAAATAAACCGAATATAGCCGATCGGTTATACCATTTAAATAAAAAAGATTATGCAAAAAGGGACCTTCCTAGTTGCATTAGTTTATACTTTATAGATATTAATTTTTGATAGCCGCGCGGCTATACGAATAAAATAAGTACGTGTTTTATTCGGCAAAATTTTGGCAAATTACAACTTAAAAGTTCAGCCTCTATATAATATTTTAATATAATTTATTTAAAATTTTCAATATATATTATTTGTATTCAATAACATGTGATAATTATGTGTATAATATGTGGATTTCGTGTGTACTACTGAAAATTTTGTAGAAAATATACACGTACAAGTTCAATAGGAGTATTGTACATTTGTTGTTTAAAAAATGTGAAGTTTATAAAGTCTTTTAAGACATTTACAAAACATAGATGTATTATTGAAATCAGTCCCGATCTCTTGGACTACAGGGGTCCAAGAGATTTGTGGCCACTCACCGTTGGATATAAATTCAACTGTTCACTCACTCTTGCATTCCTTTTAAGAAATTTTTTTGAACCATTAGATTAACATCCAACGATAGGTGACCACAATCTCTTGGTAGTCAAGAGATCGGGCCTGTTATTGAAATATAGGCATGTACGTGCATAATACAGTATTATTAAAATATAGAGAAGTAAAAAATCAAAAGGGGACAATAGAGACTCCGTAATGGCCTAATAGTAATGGATGATGCTCTAAACTACCCTTATTGATAAACAAAAATCAAGGAAAATATATATATATATATATATATATAAAAGAGGATCCTAGTATATATATAGAGGTAAAGAATATAGCTGCTCGACTATACTATTTATTTATTAAAAAAAGTTGAGTAATACCGCACAACTATACTATTGTTTAAAAACAATTAAAAAAAAAGGAGTTTCACTAAAACACCCAAAATGGGGGCTGAAATTATAAAAAAACCCAACACCCAAAACACTTTCTAAACACACCCAAAACCCATCATTACACACACTCAAAACCCATTTATAAACACACCCAAAAAATATACAATTGTTGATTTTGGGTGTGTTTCTATGTTTAAATAGTGTTTGGGTTTTTTTTTTACAAATACATGTTATGATTGGGTTTATTTATAAATTTGTATAAAAAAAAAACAGGTATACCAGCGCGTCTATACTATTTCTTTTTGAAAAATTAGGAAAAAATCGTGTATAGCCGCGCGGCTATACTATGTCATTTGAAAAAAATGGGGAAAATTGAGTATACGGGTAATAACTCTGGAAATGTAAAAAATCAAAAGGGAACAATATAGACTCGGGTAATGGCCTAATAGTAATGGATAATGCTCTAAATTAATCTTATTGATAAACTAAAATTGTTAAAAATATATATAAAAGAAAATGAGGATCTGAGCATATATATATATATATATATATATATATATAAAGCGTATAGCCGCTCGGCTATAGTATTTATTAAAAAAAAAGGGCTAAATAAAGCATCACAACTATACTATTTTTTTTTAAAAAATTAGAGGATGAAACCCAAGTATAGTCGAGTGGCTATACTATTTTTTTTTAAAGTTAAAAAAATGAGTATTGCTGGTCAGCTATACTATTTCTTTCGAAAAACATTGGCAAAATCAATTATAGCTTCTTTGAAAAAAAAAATTGGAAAAAAACTGAGTACAGCCGACCGGCTATACTATTGTAGGGGGTGTTTTTGTTCCAGCAGCCTGACGAATGGGCTTGGGCTGCCGTAAGAAGACAACGAACAAAAATTCCCCAAAAGCCTGAGTTCGAAACCAAGCTCCCAAAAGGGTTTTTATAAAATCTGATGAGACTTTAGAAAAACACTCTTAGGTTCATCTCACTAACACCAAATAAGCATGATAAATTGATTAATGGCTTAGCATGAGGAGCTTGTGGCATGGGAGCAAAACCATCATGAGTTTAGCATGAACAGAGAGAGATAAGCGTGAGTTTCTTACAGCGAACAAAGGGTTAAAGTGGAACAGAGGAAGATTAGACAGATTTCTTTCTTAAGGGAAGAGGAAAACAAACGAAGGAGAGAATTGGGTGGCTTGAGTAAAATTCCCAATTTGTTTGACAAAGCGTGGTCAAGCCTTGGATGGGTTATTTTGCTAGGTGGAAGAAGCATGGAGGAATAAGGCTCAAAATTGCTGGGTTTTGGAAGCAAAAGAGGAAGCTTGCTTTCTGGATGTGGATTGAGTGAATTTCCAGTTGCTTGACAAAGCTTGGTCAAGCTCTAGATGGGTTAGGCTGTGGATGGTTTTCTGGGTAGATGTGGCTCTCTTTTATAGGCTTGAAGAACCCTAATTTCATCTAACTTTTCCTTTCCCTTTTCATCGTTTCTTCCTACTTGATCTAATTTGGTGAAATTCTCCTATCCAAGGAGCATGGGTAAGGAACCCTTTGTGGTTCCAATAGTTTGACGCAGCTGGACCTTCTCATAAGGGGGGAGGCGCCACCTGCTTTCTCTCATGGTTTTCAAGATGGAGCTTGCAGAGGAAAAAGAGATGGGAGGAGTTCTTTGTCCGATGAGTATTCGTCTCTCACACATGGATTTCCACTGGTTCTTGCCATGGTTCCTTGTTTGACCGTCTTGGAATCCTAGCAAGGATAGAGCACGATGCCAGATTTTTTATAAGGCTTTGGGCTGAGCTTGTATGTACAGTGTCGTCAAGCTGCTGGAAGTGTTTTTGACAAAGTGTTTGGGTGCTCTAATTAACATAAGGTTTTCTAAACAAGCTATTGTATTCTTTCTAAGGCATTGGGTTATGTTCTCTCTCTCTCTCTCTCTCTCTCTCTCTCTCTCTCTCTCTCTCTCTCTCTCATGCTAGCCCATGTGTTTGGGCTCAAGAAATGGGCTTGAGTTTTGGGGCTTCTAAGCAGCCAAAAACTTCCATTTCTTGGCTCATCAATGGGCCT